TAGCATTGGGTTACATATGCTTCAGATCCTAAGGTTGAGTGTTCAATTCCCCAATGTTCCATTTTTTTTATGTTATATATTAATAATAATAACAACAGTCTGTTGGAATTCCGTTGGACGTCTGTTGGATTTGTCCACTGGAATTCCGTTGGCACTTGCTCATCATTTCCAGTGGACTGGGTGCTAGTTTGCTGTTAGTCCATCGGAAGTCCGTCGGAAAAGTCCGACGGACTTTTCAGTCCGACCAAAAATGCTCGGAAAAGCTTCGGACATTCACCGGAAAATTTGCTGCATTTCAAAGCAGAAAAATATCTGTTCTGCATACCCTCAGTCCGACGGAGTCCGCTCGGAGTCCGCTCGGAAAAGCAGTGGCAGCGTAAAGACCTCGGTTCAAATGGGCCAGCTTGGGGTGTCCATCAGCGTCAATGATGATCGACTCGGATGACTTGCAAGCCTCAGTGTACTTACGAGGACTCGGCATGAGGGACCACGAAGACATTAGGCTTGGCTGGCGCGTCAGACTGTCAGCGCTCTGTTGAGGTTCGATCTGGGACTACTGCTGGCTTCGCCAGAAGGAGGGACGACCATCTATGTAGAACCCAAGGGCCCGCGTAAAAAGATAATATCGGGGTGATCAGTCCAACTTACCATTCAGGAGAGCTCCAAGACTTTACCCTGGTGCTAGATGCCTTCGTCGTTGTCTAAAATCAGGGTAGTGCCAACCAAGTTGTCGAATTTCCGCAAGGGAGTTCGGAGCTGCCCCTCCATGGCCCCTCCTTCCATCAGATCTGTCTGCCTGCCTGTAAATTGAAAATTCAGTATGTACCACATTGTCCACCTTTGAAGAAGGATTTCCGTAAATTTATGGACCCCGGAGAGTATTCAAAATGTGAACACAGTGAACGTTGATGCTGGAATTATGTGGAATATGTTGGTAATTATTACTGTAGGAACTGATCTGAAATGATTCATCTGCCCAAACACTCGCTTCGTTTACAACTATACACCATATCCAGCGTGCCCAATCTCCCACACAAGACAG